AGGCAGAGCGACGCCGGAGCCCTCCAGCCCGTCCCCTCGGAGGGTATTCTGAGGTCCCATATTAAGTCTAGAGGTACTTTAGTGACGTATTTACAGGTTTCTAAATAAAGAGGCAAATCATCTGCGAAGAGAGAAAATTTGACTTTCTCTTTTCCTACTTGGATGCACGCCCAGACCCCGCCCTCACCCCGCGCTCACCCCGCCCCGCCCCGGCCCTGCCCCTGAGCCCCGCCCAGCCGGGAGCCCCGCCCAGACCCACCCTGACAGGCGCTGCACTGGCAGCTGTGAATGACCGGTAGCACCACCGGCTCTGTGTGGCCGTCTGGACAGCGCAGGTTCAGGATCCGCACGGGGCTCTCGGGGTCCAGGCGGTAGCTACAGCAGTCACACTGGCTCTGAAGGTAGGGCTCCTGGGCGAGAGACGAGCGGCTAAACTGGGGCCAAATGGAGGTTCCTCCCTTCCCTTGGCCTTTCCCATCCAAGGGGTGTGGGGCGGAGGAATGACCCGATCCCAAGTAGTGAGCCGGGCCTGGGAAGGAATTGTCGCCACCAAGCCCTCTTCCGCAAGCAGCCCGCCTCCTTCACTCCGGCCCCCACCCCTCTGAATGTCCAACAACCTGCAGGTTAAATGAAAGCTTTGAACATGTCCATCGCTGCATCCTAGTTGCAGGTGGAAACACAGAGCTTCTACCCCAGGGGGCTTACAGTCTAGTTAGAGAGGCCGACTAATAACACATGAAACTGCAAATGATTAAGTCCTAACCACACGGTTCTGATCCCGAGTGCAAAGTGAGTTCTCACTCCAAAGCAGACCTCTCTTGCCTTGTGGTTATAAAGTACTGCTAAGTCCTACTGAACATTTGATGTAATTTTATGTATAGTTATATTTTGAAATAGGAAGTATATTCATACAATACCAAGTTCAAAAATTACAAAAGGTTATTCAGTGAGAAAAATCTCCCTCCAATTTCTATTCCACTATCACTCAATTTCTTTCCTCAGGGGAAAAAAAAAGAAAACCTTAATCACTTTCGTTCTTTCCTCACTCTGTGTTTTAAAAACTCCAAAAGTGAATTGGGAAAGCATCCCCAGGAGGTGCAAGAAGCAACCAGGGGAGCAGTAGCATGGCCGAGGATTGAGGCACAGTGTCTTTGGCGACCAGGTAGGAAAGCATCTTGGCCTTCCAGGACTAGATAGGCAGGTGGGTTGAGGCAGGAGGGATGGCTGAAGAGTTGAGGCACTGTAAGGCGGTGCCCTGGATCAGGAGTGGAATGGTGGAAGCAGAACTGGAGAAAGGACCCTGACAGGAGGGAGCTCGAGTCCCAGCTCTCCAGATTCCGGGCGAGGGCAGTTAGGGTGGGTACAGAACTCTTAGGAAGATCCTAACAAGGAGAAAGACTGGGCTTCTGGGTCCAGGGAGGGCAAGAGCAGAGCAGAGCCATCTGCCAAAGACTCAGAGTCAGCTTCTGGGGCCTGTGGTACCCCTGGCCAGGAAATGCCAGAGGCAATGCTATGTAGAAAGTGTCCCATAAGGGCTCTCACTCACTGTGTGATGGATTCTGATTTCAGAGGTTAACTCAGCTCCTCTGTGTCTTTCTTTGCTGGTGTCCTGGCTTACCCCTGAGGGGCGCAGTGGGCCACAGGACATGCTCTGGAAGCTGTGTGGGGCCACAGCAGGAAGAGACCTCCCTGGGAGCGGGTGCAGACACCCAGCAACACCTCTGAGCCAACCAGCAGATGCAGACCTCCCCTTTCCTGGTCCTCTGCATCCTTAACTTCACTATTGACTCCATAAGAACTGACTGTGCACTGTGTGTCCTCTGGATTCTGCCCAGGTCCTGGGCTCAGGGCAGGCCCTCGGGGGCTGCTGGCTGACCGGACTCCCCTGGGCCTGAACTTTAGCCCCCTTGCTCACCTCAGGCATGACGTTGGTGCTGGATGGGCAGTGCCCACTGCAGTAGCTCACTTCTACCTGGTCCAGGTAGCAGGGGCCCTTGGTGAGGTTACGAAGCTCTGTGAGATGCTGGCAGGTGGCTGATGGCTCTTCTGTGGGGAGGGACATCGAGTGTGGTGGGAGGCAGAGGCAGGGAAGAGGAGGAGGCTGTGACTAAGGGGCTGAGTGGGGAGTGGGACAGAGTCTGGATATGAGGGGAGCATGTTGGGGTAGGGGGTGACCAGATGCTATGATGCACACTAGGGGTCTTCACTCCTCTAATCCCCATGGTAGGCAGGCCTAGGGAAGGTGGGCACATGCCAGGCTGAAAGGGCCAGGCGTAGGGGCAGTTGGGGAGAAGGGTTCAGACTAGGGAGAGGCACCACAAGAGGCACCACAGGTTCCCTGCATACCCGGAGTCTCCTGGAGGCAAGTAGGGCAACAGCTCCCTGGCTCCTGCACCATCACCTTGCCCTGTGGAGGGAGTGATTCTGATTCACTTGGGAGGGCGGTACTGACCCCCATAGCCTAGCCCTGCCTGCCCAGAGGCCCTAAGACCAGCCTCGGAGGACAACCCCAAGAAGGATCCTGGTAAGCCCCACCACCAAGTAGACAGCAGGGCTGCAAGGGGTACCTGAGCACAGGTGAGAAGGGGGCAGTGCTGGATGCAGACAGTCCTCCCACTGAGGCAGCGGCAGTGCTCACAGGCCTCCTGCCATTCGGATCCAGGCTGCGGAAAGTGGAGGGCGAGCCTCCTCTTGGTCTCTCTCACTTGGAGTCTTTTCTATAATAACATCCCGATCTCCAAACCCAGCCTAACCAGGGCAATGGACTTGGACTGGAGTGGGAAAACCAGAGACTCAGGAGAGAGATGAACCAGTAGGGCCAGCCTACAGCTAAGCCCTACTGGCTGCTGCAGGGACAGGAAGTAGGGAGAGGAACCAGTGGAGTTGCAGGTAAAATTCAGTAGATAGAGAGACCTGGGGTCAGGAAGGGGTGGGTGGCAGCAGAGAGGGGTGTAGTGTCTCACCAGGTGGGGACGCCCGAGGTGCCAACACTCGCAGAGGTCTGCGGGGACGCAGGGGCCCGCCTGGCTGCGGAAGTACCCGGGCTGGCACACACAGCCCGAGGCCTGTGCCACACTGCAGTTGTTCCAAGTCTCCGTGGTGTTTATTTCCCGGCATGTCTGCTCACAGGGCCCCAGCTCCCCAGGGGCCACCTGCTGCCACATTTCCCCAGGGGGGCAATCTGCCAGGGAAGACCACCCACCCCACCTTTCCGTTTAGTCCTGGGTCCAGCCTCCATTCTCTCTGCTCCCAAGCTGGCACCCCTCGAGTCCCTCCTGCCCTTCCCACGTGCTGCCTCCCTGGTTGCATCAGTCTCCAACCACACCTCTTGGTGTTATCCACCCACTCAAAATAGCTGGGCCAGGACAGGTCTCACCTCCTCCAGGAAGCTTCCCCTGACCAATCTAGTCCACCTGACCTCTCCAGTTTTGGCACCGATGTAACATTCTGTGGGTGCTACTTGTTTGTCAGAGACTCAAATATGGTCCCCTGCCTCTACCTGTTTGAGTGGATGGTCTGCCCTCACTAGCCAGGCTGGGAGTGCCCAGGGGATGGCCATCCTTATATGTCTCTGTCTCTATCCATGGAGTCCAGCATGGCAGATAGGCCCTTGTTCTTTTTTTTTTTTTTTTTTTTTTTTTTTTTTTAGTGTGAAAGCAGGATTTATTAAGAGGACAGAAAAGCTCCCACAGTGGGAGGGAAGCGAGGAAGTTGCCCGGGCCCTTGGTCTTGATCAAATGGGGCAACACCGCACAGGGCAAACCTCAGCGGCCTGGGGACTGCCAGGCCAGGCTTCTCGTTTCCACTCATCCCCCAGACCTATTTCCTCATTGTCAGGGAGAGACCTTTCCACTTCCTGGCATCACTCACAGCCCTGGTTTTGTTTGCACACAGTGTACTTTTTTACTTTTTACTTTTTAGAGACAGGGTCTCACTCTGTCACCAAGGTTGGAGTGCAGTGGTGCATCATAGCTCACTGTAGCCTCAAATTCCTAGGCTTAAGTGATCCTCCTGTCTCAACCTCCCAAGTAGCTGGGACTATAGGTGTGTGCCACCACACCCAGTTAATTTTTAATTTTGTAGATATAGGGTCTTGCTATGGTGCCCAGGTTGGTCTCAAACTCCTGGCCTCAAGCAATCCTCCTACCTTGGCCTTCTAAAGTGCTGGGATTACAAGCGTGAGTCACTGTGCCCGGATCACACAGCGTACTTGGGAGGGTGGACCATACTGAGTGCCCAGGGAGCACTGGGCAGACAGTGATGGGTCTCAGGTTAGAAAGAGGTCAATGTAGACAGACAGAGAAGGGCTTCCTGAAAGACGCAGGTTTGCCTAAAGTGTGGGCAGGGCCCTCCTCTCCTCCTCAGCCCGGCCTTGGCTTTGAAGGGGCAGCAGGGCATGGACAGCCACATCTCACCCTGACAGTCGGCAAGGGAGCAGCTGAAGGCTCCACCTTGGCAGATACTGGGAAGACAGAAGCACATGCTCAGACGCCTCCCGTGCCCTCCTCCCCACCCATGCTCAGCAGCCCCTTCCCCATCCCCTTTCCCACCCCCAGCCCAGGACCTCACCAGCGGGTGCAGTTCCAGGTGAGCACCGTCCCTGGGGGAAGCTCCTGGGCCTGCTCTTCAAGGGTCAGGGTGAGGCCCCAGGGCAGAGAGAGCTGGGTGCAGGGGCAGGCAGCGGGGGGCACACACGTGCCATTGTGCAGCAGCTGAGGCAGGGCAGGCTCAGTAACACTCGGACCAGCACCTCTTCCTTCCCCACCCACCTGCTTCCTCTGTGTAAGGGTCAGGACACGGCACCAGTACCCACCTGCCCTTCAGGGCAGCCACAGCTGGGCTGGCAAGGTTCCTGCACACAGATGGCACCAGGCTGCAGATGTGAGCAGAGGCGCGGGCATGAGGTGGCACAGGCACTGAACACCTGGCCAGGAGAGCACTCTGTGGGGAGCACACAGATAAGGAGGCGGATGGGACCCAGCACCTCCAGTCCCAGGAAGGGGCTGCCATGGGACCTGGCTCCTCTCCCATCCCTATCCCCCACAGCTGGGATGAGTCCTGGGCTCAGCAGCAGGGGAAGGAAGGGCTGGCACCCACCACCCAGGGCGCTCACCAGGGCAGGGCTGCAGGTTACACTCCTGCTGATGCTGCATGTCCTGAGCCTGGCATGGCTCCCCCCCAGGACTCCCCTCACAGCTCCGATGTCGCTCCATGGTGCCCCCACCACAGGGAGCCGAGCAATTGCTCCAGGCTGACCAAGGCCCAAGGAGTGGACACTCACGGTGTAGGCACACCAGGGACCCATTGACACAGGAGCTGTGGACAGAGGTGTGCAGAAAGGGTTCAAGTCCTGAGACATGGCGAAGAGAACCTTCACTCCCCAGCAATGCCCATAGCCCCTCTGCCCCCTGCCCACACCTCCACCCAAAGCTCCCCTGGCCCAGTGGCAGTCATACCAATTTTGGCAGTCCAGCTGCACCACCTGACCTGGGGCCAGCTCCCATGAGGCATTGGTGCTGGGAAGGCCACAGCGGCAAGAGGAGACGGGCACACAGTGCCCATCCTGGACCAGCTGGCCGGGGGGACAGCGGCAGCCTGGGATGGGGGTGGGGAGGATAGATAGTATTCAGTGTTCAGCAAGGCCATGATGGATCCCTCTGGCAGTCAGATGAGTCCAAGGCCTGATCTCCACGGCATCTCCTCATGACCCTGCACAGAAGGGGGCCACCTAGTACGTGGGCACCACCCAGCAACCCTTCCGGCCAGCTGTGAACAACCTCAGGGATGCAGCCAGTCTTGATGGTGCCTCACTGTATGAGGGGGTACCTCAAAAAACTGGAATCTATTTCTAGAAAATTGTGTATTTATTCTTACATGTTTAAACTTCAGTCTCCTTCAAAGTACTCTCTGATGCAATACACCTATTGAGATGCTTTTTCCACTGCTCAGAACAGTTTTTGAACTCATCAACTTTGATGCCTCTTAGTGCTTCTTCCATTTTTTGTTTCACCTCTTCCACATCGGCAAAAACATTTCCCTTTGAGGACGACTTTTCATCCGGAGATACCAAAAAAAAAAAAAAGTCGCCCGGGGAAAGATCAGGTGAATAGGGATGGTGGGGCATGGGAGCCATGCCGTTTTTGGCCCAGAACTGCTAAACTCAGCACAATGTGGGCTGGCGTGTTGTCATGGTGGATGAACCAGCCACCTGTTTGCCACAACTTGGGACATTTCTTCTGCAAATCTTGACGCAACCTTCTCAAAATTTCCAGATGAAAACTTTGGCCATGTGGTCCAGAGGAACAAATTCTGAGTGTACTACAAGGAGCCTGCCCTCCCAAAGATAATTCCAGGTTTTTTTTGGTCACCCCTCATATGCAGGAAAAGCAGGTTACTGAAAAGGACTCAAGGATCCACTTTCCTACCCTATAATTCATGACTCAGCAGTCTGATCCCCCACCCTCACAGATCACACACTCTCTGGGAGCAGCAGGCAGCAGGGGAGGCCCAGGCTTCCCTAGAACTCCCAGCCAGGTGTGTTGGGGACGGCTAGCTACCTGGGTGGCAGGGTCCCTGCAGACACTGAACACGGTCCCAGAGGTCAGCACAGCTGCGAGGGCACTGGTTGGCACAGCTGAGGGTGAGCACAGTGTCCCGGGCCTCACAGCTCTCCCCTGGGAACCAGATAGGAGTCTGTGCTGGGACCACCTCTGGGCCTCCAGGATAGTGTCTTCCCTCCCACGGCCCACCTCCGAGGCAGAGGCAACAACCCCCTCAGGTGTCATCTCTGTATGCTCCAGTCCTAGGCCCTCCTCCAGATGCTGGAATGGGAGTTACCTGGGCAGGGCCCCATGTTGCAGCTCTGGGTCTGAGCCCATGGCTCCCGGCAGCCTCCTCCAAGGGGGCCCCCTGCCTCTCTCCAGCGCAGCCGGACTCCCCCACTGCAAGGCACCTGGCAGGGGCTCCAGGGCCCCCAAGGACTCCACTGACATGAGTCTGGAAAAGATAAAATGGAGTTAATACCCAGGCCCACCTCCGGCTTCCACCCCAAACCTTGGGCTCTGCCCCTGAGGCCCCACTGGGCTCCCTTCTTTCTCTTTCTAGCTGCTGCTTATACCCCACCCCAGCTTCAAATCCTGCAGGTCCTAGAGGCAGGTCCTGTTAGCAGGTTGAATGAACTCAGTGGCCCAGCTCCACGAGGCAGGTCCCCCCACACTCACACTCCAGGTCCCCTCCTGTCCTGCTGGCCCCTGCCCACCCTCATTACCACTGCAGGCTCCAGGGTCAGGGCAGAAGCGTTGCTGGCTGAGGGGTGCAGTGCAGAGGTGAGGGTCTCCAGCCCAAGGCCTCCCTGTCTCAGGGTCCAGACAGAGGCGGTGGCGGTACTGCGCCGAAGCCAGCAGGGGTGTCGAAGTGGCAGAGAGGCCAGCTGGGTCCTGGGGCCAGTGGCCCTCAACAGCAGTCCTGAAGGCAGGGGCCAGGGCGCTAGGGGGCAGGCAGGGCCCACAGGGCGACCACTCCGACCAGCTGGTCAGAGGCAAAAGACCTAGAAAGGCAATGTATGGGTGCCCTTCTGGGTGACCCTCCAGACCCAGAGACCCCAGCAGACAGGCAGGAGGGGCTTGGGGTTATGTCCAGGAAGGATCAGAAACAGAAAAGGCTGAGGTAAGTGTGAAGGCAGGGTAAGGTGACCACTATGCTGGTTTGCTTTGGGTTGTCCCAGTATTAGCACTGAAAGTTCCATGTCCCAGAAGCCCCCCATTCCTGGGCAAATGGAGACTGTTGTCTCCCTAGATCAGGGTTACCTTCACAGCCCTGGCTGGTGCACTGCAGCTCTCCACGTTGGCATTCACTGTGGGAGAGGACCGTCAGGGTGGGCTCTGGGAGGCAGCACCCAGCCCAGAGCTGCAGGGGATTAAGTAGGGGTAACCTGACCTCTGGGTGCATTAGGGGCAAGATGAGGGAGTTGAAGGTCTGGTATTTTGGAGTCCTTTGCCCAGAGGCTGGACTGGACCCCTGGGAGGCCCCCTGTCCCACTCTCTGGCCCCAGTCTTCTGCCCCCCCTTCTCTTATCACTCACCACTCCTTACAGCCCAGCCGAAGACGATCCCCAGGGGCCAGGGTCACCCTGGTTCCCTCTCCTGAGATGTGCCAGCAGTTACACTGCTCTGGAGGAATGCAGTCCCCAGCCTGCTCCAGCAGTCCCTGAGTGAAAGGAGAGATGGGGCAGGAGGGTGTGGTGATCACTCCGTCACTCCAGCGCCCAGCCCCACCTACAGCAGGTGCACATGCGTGATGCTGAGTGAAAGGGTGAATGAACATGAGCTGGGAAGGGGCACTGAGTGCTGAGCGGTTTGGAGGGAGCAGGGGTCACCATGGACGTCCTGGCAGGGAGGGGGGAAGAGGAGCTGGAGTTTAGACAGAGGACCTGCTTCTCCTTGGGAATCGCCCCAGCTCCCAGCCTTCACCTTGGGGCAGTAGCAGCCGGGCTGGCAGGGTGGCAAGTCCTGGCAGAGTTGATGGCTCAGGTGTGTGGCACAGAGCCCAGCGCAGGGGGATCCACAGGCCTGGAACTCAAAGGGAGGTGTGCAGCTGTCCTCTGGAGGGGGAGGCAGGCTGATGGGGAAAAAGCCCAGACACCCCCCCCCCCCAAGCCCAGAGCATATGCTGCATGGTCCTACTGAGGCTTCCCAGGGTCACCAGGTAAGAGTACAAGACTGCCCTCGCTGCATGTCAGGACAGACCAGTGTCCCCCACCTGACCCCTACTTAGCCGGAGGATGCCCTCAGGGAAGGATCAAGATGGGTAGGGCCTCAGAGAGCCAGGAAGCTGCCTGAAGGAAGGAGCTGTGGGAGTGAGGGGCCCGGCAGGTGCTCCAGAAATTGTCAGATGGGAGACAGGGGGGCAGAGAGAGAGGGCCCCTACAATAGGAGGTGGGCATGGACACACTGTCCCGAGGGCAGCCACAGGTCAACTGGCAGCTGCACAGTGGGAAAATTGTGGTGAAGGGTTGGGAAGGCAGCTGTGACTGAAGAGTAGCCTGAGAGGTGGGGAGAGGAATAGCCGGGTGTGAGGACAGGGCTTGGTGCAGGCACAGGCTATTACTCAGAGGAGCTGGGGAGTTCTAGCAGGGACCCTTGGTGACTGCTGCCCCTGCTCAGCTCCCTGGCTTCCTGCTCTTGGAGCCTCACCAGCGCAGTTGTTGATGGTGCAAGGCCGGAAGTGGCCATCCAGCCGTGTGCAGGAGGACGCTGCCCTGGCCCTTCGGGATGCCGGGCCCTGGTGTCGGTAGCGTTGCTGCACTGGCACTTGGCAAGAGCAGCGTGTCCAGCGGCTCCAGCTGCTCCACACACACTCCTCTAAGGACCAGAGGGGGTAGGTCAGCCGGGGTATCTCCCCACCTGCCCTCCCCTCTCATCCCAGCCCTGCCAAGGCCCTGCACAGGAAAAGGGCAAAAGGGACCCAGAAAGGCCCCAGATGGCTGGATTCACTCTCAGCCAGAAGGGGGGGGGGGGGGTCACGTAGCCAAGGGCCCTAGAGGGAAGAGATGGTAGGAAGAGGAAAGGAACAGAGCAGAATGCTGGGGGCAGAGACAGAGATATAGATGTATTTGAGAGGGGATCATGTGGGAACTGGGAAAATATATAGTATTCCTTGAATTTTCCAAGGTAGGAAAACAGGAGGAGAGGGCTTCACTTGGTAGGCACACTCACCCAGACAGGGCCCTGGGTAGCAGGCTTGGGAGTCCAGGTGGAGGAAGGTGCCATTGCAGGTGGGGTCTGCCTCGACCAGCAGGCAGGAACAGGACCCAGAGCGGGAGGCCAGACCCAGGCCACAGCTGCGGGAACAAGGTCCCCACGGGCCCCAGGAGCAGTTCTCCAGCAGACTCAGGCAAGGCTGCCACCCACAGCGCTGGGTCTGGGTGTTGGGGCCCAGGCAGGATGGACCCCCATGGCCAGGAGCCAAGGCCATGCAGGCCCGGGCGCGGACATGGTTTCCACCTCCACAGGAGACAGGGCAATCAGACCAGGGGGACCATAGCGTCCAGGTCCCAGGCACTGTGTGAAGGCAGAGGTGTGGTTAGAAGAGGTGGAGGGAGCAAAGACTGGAGGACTGAGTGTGGACATCCATGGCCCAGGGGGTAGCAGTTGGGTGGGGGAGAAATATGAGACACAGAGCAGATGGCAGGCAAGGCATGAGGCTAGAAGGGAAGCCGAGGGGTGGATTGGGAGGAAGCCAGACCTGCACACTCAGTGTCTTCACAGATTACTCCCTCCGGGGTGCAGGAGCTGGGGAGAAAGCCCAGATTCGGGACCCTGCTCTCCAGCAGGACAGTCCCACCACCCTTCCCCACCCTGTACTGCACTTACCACTGCTGGCATTCTCCCTGCAGCCAGCTGTCCCCCAAGGTGCGGGGGTGAGTGCCCTGCAGGCACAGTGGTGGGCACGGGGGCTGAGGGCAGGGCTGGCTCTGGGACTGCTCCTCCCGACACTCTGGGGCCCACGAGCCCGATGTGGAGGACCTGGATGGGGCCCAGGGCAGAGGAGGTGAGAAGTGGCCCAGGCCTTTCATCATTCCTCTGCCCCTTGGTGAGACACCCTGACAGGAAACCCCAGGGTGGACATGTAGGGTGACTAAGGAAAGGCCAGAGTAACCAGGGACAAAGCTGGGTTGGGGAATGAGGTAATGCAAAGTCACAGTGAGGACAGGAACTCTATGTCAGAAGGGAGAACGTGCTAGGCAGAGCAAGGTCCAGGTTGGAAGAAAGGACATCTAACCTCACCCAGTCCCATACCGGAAGCGGTTCTGCTGCCCTCCAGGCCCGCATGAGTGGCTGCAGGGACTCCAGGCTGACCAGCGGCTCCAGGAGCAGTGGGCAGGAGGCGGGCAGGGCAGAGCTGTGCAGGAGAGCTTCCCATTCTGGCAGGAGCAGTTGTTGCAGTTGTCCTGGTGCTGGCTCCCTGGGGCCCAACTGTGACCCTGGGCGTCTGTGCACTCGCAGTGTCCAATTGGCACGCAGCTGCCGTCCTGCTCCAGGAAGCCTGTGGGGAGATGGCCATCGAGGGTGGGCACCAGCACCTCTGGCCCCACCTGCCTTCCAACTGGGTCACGCTGACATGCCCGCATGCCTGAAGGGCTGGGTAGCACCTACCCTCAGGGCAGCGGCAGCCCTGCTGGCAAGCCTGGTCGTCCTGACACACAATTCCCTCCTGGAGGTCCGAGCAGCGGCGGGGGCAGCGGTTGGCACAGGCAACCACCTCCATGCCTGTTGGGCAGCTGGCCTCTGAGCAGATGGGGAGGCCCAGAGTCAGAAGGGCCCTGAGATCCAGGGTTTAGAAACCCTACTTCTGCCCTATTGGGGAACCCCCTTATCTTCGTCGTCAAGAAGCTACAGGACCCATCCTATCCCCCATGTTGGTGCCCGTAGAAACACAGGGGACTTGGAGCACCACTAGGATTGGGACATTCTAAGTAGACAGCGAGTCCTCTCATTCGCCTGTGGGTTCTCAGCACTAGCCTGGCACCCAATACATGTTTGTGGAGCTGGACTAAATCTGTGCATCTCAAAAGCCAACATTCTCACCTAGAGCCTCACTATGTTCACGGCGGGGGGGAGGAGGTAGACAGGAGCGCCCAGGGTGGGTAGGGGTTTCCTGATAGAAGAGGAGGGTCCTAGGGTAACACAGGCCTATAGGATTGGTGAGTTCAGGAGGACCAATTGGGAGAGGAGGGGAGAAGGGGGAGTACAGGGCTCAGTTACAGTCTGTCTAGCTCAATCCACATCCCAAGAGCACCAGACACGCTCCTGGCTGTGTCGCTGTCAACTTCCTCTAAAGAAAATTGCAACAGGGCTGGGTGGCTCTTCAGGAACTGGAGGGTGAGGAAAGCTGGCTGAATGAGTTCTCCCCCAGGGTGGGGGTGGGCGGAGGTGGATCCCTGGGCTTCTGCACAGATAAGAGACCCTCAGGGAATCCTTGGCCAATGCCAGACACAGCCATTCACCCAGTATGGGGCTATTTTCTGAACTGGCCCACTGGGGTAATAGCCTGTCTCCCTCTCCCTCATGTGGTGTTGTGTGGAGGAAGTCAGGGAGGTGGCGGAGAGAGCTTTGCAGAGTGAAGCCCAGCAGGGATAGGATGTGGCTGTCACCACTGCCATACCACAGGGCATGGGATTGCAGAGCCGGACGTGGTGCCTCTTCCCAACACAAGGGTCACCCCCATTCTTGGGTGGGGGACTCGAGCAGCTGCGGCTCCTCAGGGATCGGCCTCCCCCACAGCTCTGGTCACACCAGGACCAGGAGCTCCAGCGTGACCAGCCCCCAGGAACTGTGTGGGAAAGAGAATGGCCACCTTAAGGGGTTGGCTCAGGCAGGGGTGGCCCACATGTCCCATGTCCCACGAACCTGGGCCAGGGTCTGGTGGGAGAGATGGAGGTGCCACACTTTAGGCAAGCTGGGTTCCTGGGAGGGGGCACTGAGGCCAGGAGCCTTCCGTGGGACAGGGCCAGGAAAGAAATGGGACATGCCTGCCCTCTCCAGTCCACCTCACCTGGGCAAGCACGCAGGTTGCAGAAGCGGCGCTCCTTGTAGGCAGTAAGGATGTCAGGGCACCAGTGTCCACCGGGCCCGGGGGCATGGTATGCTCGAAGGCGGCGCTGCTGGCCCACCCCGCAGCTGCGGGAACAAGGTTCCCACGGGGCCCAGGGAGTCCAGGAACAGTTCCCGCCCTTGCAGCCAGGGCCAGGGCACAGGGGCAGCTCTGCAGGACAAAGCCAAGCTGGAGCCAGCACCAGCTGCACAGAGCCTGCCCCGCCTCTCCTTCCTGCTCCCAGCTCAAGGGCAGACCACCTCCACCCATCCAGCTGTGGCCTCAGGCAGATCTCCAGGCTCCCATTCAGGATCTGATACTGACAGACTGTTGTGTGGCTTTGGCAACTGGGCCTCAGTGTCCCCTTTTCTCACAGGGGACAGTAGTCCTAGACTCTCAGGGCTGCTGAGGGACTTGGGTGGGACCTTGGGAGGGAGGTGTTCAGCACACGCATGAGTGAGGACCAAGGGATGTACTAGAAGTTGGCGGGGTTCCCTGCCAGCTGCTGGGGTTGGCAGGGCCCTGAGTCAGACGCTGATCTGAGATCACATGTCAGCATTAGAAATCAGTAATTCCTCAAGGGGTATTAAATGTTGGGGCTTGGGAGTTGGACACCAGCTGGGTGTTAGAATGACTTGTTTGAAGGTGGTGGTTGGGGTCAGAGGTCGAGGCTGGAAGGTGCACCTGAGCAGGAGGGCAGGTTGCAGGGGCGCTCCTGCGAGGTCTCCCCCATGGTGCAGTTAGCCAGGCAGAGGCGGGTGCGGCTGCGCCATGCAGGGTGAGCAGGGTCTGTGCAGCTTCGGGAGCAGGGGGACCACAGGGACCATGGGCCCCAGCCACCTGGGTGGAGACAATGGGGGAGGGGTGCCTTCTGATGAGTCAGCCCAGAGCTCTGGCCTCTCCTGGAGGCAGGGTAGGAAGGGAGGGGACCCTGGGCTTGCTCTTCCCCCAGGAAGGCCACAGGAAAGAGGTGCAGGGAGTCTGGGCTACCTGGAAAGCCTGTCGTTGGCTCCACTGTGTACCCTTCAGCCCCTGTGCCAATGGAAAACCTTCTCAGAAATGTTTCTTCTGAGCCCACAGTGTACCCGGACCATGCCCAAGGTTGTGGCTGTCTGGTCCAGCTTCCCTCAATTTGATCTCCTGTAGACATTCCAGGCCCCAAACTCAACATTTTCTCATAAGAGCAAGGCCTTTGTTCAAGGCCCTTGCTACCTGATATTCCTTCCCTTCCAATACGTGTCAAAGTTTTCTCCATCCCTCAAAACCCCTCAGATACTGCATCCTCCAGAAAGTCTTCCTAGACTGCCCTGTTAGGAGAGTTCTCTCCCTCCCTGATTTTCCACAGTACACGCACCTTCCTATAGGGCTCACCACATGCTGAGATGGTCATCTGAGCCCCTGGTTTCCAAGGACAGTGTGCTCACCCCCACCCCAAATGTACACACAATACGGTGCCTTTGAAAAGAGTTCCAGAAATGGCTGAATTTACAACAGAAGTCTCGAGCTAGACAGTGAGAAAAAAGATCCAGAGACAGCAATAGGGATGGATGGACAGGAAAGGACAGAGGGTGGGCTAAAGCAGATCTGACCAGCCAGACATCTGCCCAGCCCCTTCCTAACCCCAGCCCTGCCCACTCTCTTCCTGCTGTCCTTACCAGGGCAGTTGGGGCTGGGGCAGTACTCGAGGTCCTGGAGGGGCTCTTGACAGCCCTGGCCGCCAGGACCAGGCGTGGGGATGACACACTGGCGGCTGCGGGTGCGGGTGCCCAGCCCACCACAGGAGTGGGAACACGGGCCCCATGGGCTCCAGGGACTGAAACCATCACGGGCCTCGGAGCAATCCTCCATGGAGCAAGACAGCTTTCCGTGTGCACAGGAGCTGAGGAGAGGTTCCGGGGTTGAGGCAGGGGGCAGGGTGGACTGGTATGGGCAAAGGCCTTGGGCCCCAAAGGGCAAGAAAATGGAGCCAGGGTTCCCCCAGGCCAGGTGGGGGCAAAGGGCAGACCAGAGCTCTCCTATTCTCTAACCCTCCTCTAACCCCCTCCCTCCACCAAAAGTCTCTCCTACCCCCCAGCCCAGCCCCCACCCTAATTATCCCCCTCACCAGTTGCTGCAGCCAGTATGAAGTATCTGGCCCGAGTCCAGCTCATCTCCAGGCCCAAGGAGTTGACCCCCCTCTCCCAGAAAGGGAGGATGCACCCCAGGGTTGCCACCAGTGGCTCCCAGCTCTTGGAGCAGCAAGGGTGTCAGCAAACAGGGGCACTCCTGGATAGGTAGAGCAGAGGAGACAGAGCCATGGCACTGACCAGCCACATGCCAGGTGCCTGTGCATGTCCCTTCATGAGACTTGAGGGAGTAGAGGCAAGGGATGGGGGAGGATGGTATGAGGCCCTAGAGGAGGACTCTGGGTCCCAGGAAAGTATTTCTGGGAGCAGTGGGGCTGTTCTGCTGTGTCAGGGGCATGGATACACCATGAGAGGTACATGGGCCATGGGCCTGACCCTATATGGTCAGCGGCTTCCCTGCCCAGTGCACCAAGCAGGACACAAGCAGGCACCAACAGAGGCCCTTATAGGACTTGGCGGGAGGCAGAAAGAGCCTCAGTGAGGAATGGGGATGTTTGAGCTTGGGCCTTGCTCTGCTAACTGTGTGTGAACCTTGTGTATTTCTTCCCCCTCTTGGGTTCAAGAGGTGGAACCAAGTGGCTACTCAGATCCTGGTGGGACCAAGTGGCTGCTCAGATCCTTCCTAGCAAGGCATTCTGGAACTCTGACTGCGGGAAGGACACTGGAATGCCAGCTTCAGGAATAGAAAAGATGTCCCCATGCACCTGCTGGGCTCAGCAGAACAGAATTGGCCCCCACCTGACATCCAGATGCATGCCAGGAGATGGAGGAGTCAGGCTTTGGAGAGCAAAGGTGAGGGGACATTCGCCCACAAGTATGTGACAGAGAAAAGAGGGGCCATGGAGACCCATGTCCCTTCAGTGGAGATGAGGCTGGGCCAGGGGTGGAGGAAGCCATGGGTGCCTGGCAGGAAACCACCCTTGCTGCCAGGAGAGCCAGAGGGGACATGTGGCAACACTCTGTCAGGGGTGGTGTCAGAATTCTTGCAGGCAACTCTGAGCGGAAGGTGGGGCCAGGGAGATGCGCTGGTGAAGAGCAGAGGCCCAGGCAACATCCGTGGGTGGTGCATGCTCCTTATTCTCTGGGAGCCTGGGACCCCAGGAGGCGGCATCACCTCTGTCTGCTGTTCCGGGTGCTCTAACTCTACCTGCCCCCCTAACGCTGGCTGCAGAGGCCTCAGACAGTCTCACAAGCCTGCACACTGCTTAGGGTCAGGTGAGGAAGGGACGGCCTGTCCAGAGGCCACAGGGTCTGCCGAGGTGGTGAGCTGACAGGCAAGGGGCTGGGCAGGGCAGAGCTCCTGGGCAGCTGGGTTCTGACCTGGACACAGGCCAGGCGGTGCTGGAAGGTGCCCTCAGGGCAGTGGCAGCCCTCCTTGCAGCCACTGGAGAAGCAGTCCACCTGCTGTGTGATGTGGGCGCAGGAGAAGGGGCATCCCTCGCCGGGCTGACACTCACGGTACAGGCGGCCGGCCGGGCAGCCTGCCTCTGAGGCAACACCCACATCAGGGCCCAGTTCCAGCCCATGGCCCTTGATGCCCATGGCCTTGACTGCCCACCTCTCTGTCCACCTTCCCCGTGACTCATCTTTTACCTGCCCCATGCCCATCACCCATCCCCCAATCCGGGCAGGGCCCCCTCCCACAGGTTCTCAAACAACTTGGCTGCTTCCTCCTTCACTTGCCCACCACCGACCAGGGGAGGGGTAGGCATGGGGTGGGAAGGAAGAGGGCAAAGGCCAAGATGGGAATCAAGGTCGGTGGGTGTGTCCAGGGCCTGGTTGGCTGGGGCTCACCTCGGCAGACCTGGGTGCTGCACTGGCGGCTCTGGCGGGTGGGCCCTGGGCAGGGGGGCCGGGCACAGAGCCGGGAGCGAAGCTGCTCCCCTCCCCCACACGAAACGCTGCAGTCCTCCCAGGAGCCCCAGGAGCCCCATACCCCAGGTCCCGGACAGCTGGGCACCTCCTGGCATTGCAGGATGCCTGCCACACAGGTGCTGGGGACAAGGGAGGGGGCTTCAGAGGCAGCCCACACCAACCCCCACCCAAGGGCTCTACTGCCTGGGTCTGCCCTCTCCCTTCCCCCTTCTCTTGGCTTACCAGTTGTCACATGGCCCAGTTACTACCTCTCCAGGTTCCAGGCTTTCCCAGGAGCTGAGCCTAGACCCTGCTGACCGACTCCAGTTCAAAGGGATCCCTGAAGGGTACAGAAGTGAGGGTGCAGACTCCAGACGGCTCAGTTCTCCCCCCAATCCCTCCTCCTACCCCATTGCCTTCTGCTCCCCTCCCTCTCAGCCTCCACCCATGGTGCTTTGTGTCCTGGATGAAGGAGGAGGATGCTCTGGCCAGCCCTGGGATGTGGAGGGGGACACAAAGACCTGGAGAGCTGGAGAGGCAGGCTGCCTATTTCTGTCCTGCAGCTCCAGGTTAAGCCCCATGGACAGTGGCGTGGGGGCCAGGGAGGGCAGGGCCACAGGGCTGGGGACTGATGGTGTAGCGAGTGAAGGCACTGACCCATGGCTCCAGGCTGGTACTGGCAGCGGCAGTGGGCCAGGGGTACGCAGAGCCCATCCTGGGAGAGCTGGCCCGGGGGGCACCCACAGCTGGGCTGGCAGCCTGTGGGGCCTGGCTGGCACACACTCCCGGGGGATAGGTCCTGGCAGGAGCGAGGGCAGGGCTGCCCACAGGGGAGCAGACTCTGGCCACCCCCACAGTCTATACAGGATGAAAACAGAGAGAGTGGGCGCTGAAGAGACCACCCCTAGGGATTCCTTGTACACAGGTGACCACCCCTCCTGCCATGCCCACTTCCTGTTCAGACCTGCCACCTTGTCCCGGTCTACGGGTGAGTGACCTGAGAATTGTCCCTTGAAGAAAGTGATATGTATGTATGTGTATGTGGGGGGGAGGAGGGTCAGAGGTCAGAGTCAGCTTTTCCCTAAACTTAGAGGGGGCCTCCCTCACCTCACCGAAGCCCTCACCTGTGCATCGTGTGGCATTGTCCTGACAAGGGCGACTCTGCATGTGGCCCCCAGGGCAAGGCCTCCCTCCCTCAGGGGCGGGGGGCTGGGTGCATGCCCGGCTTCGCTGGGACTGCCCCAGGCACGCATCACAGGGAGACCATGGTCCCCATGGGCTCCAGGCTCCATCCACTGTGCCAGGAAGAAAGATTTTTCCACCTTAGGAGGCCAGGAGGGAACAGACATTTGGGGGAAAGGGACAGCAGGCTTTGTGGGGCATCATACCTGGGCACATGGTGAGGTCGGGGCAGGCCTCCCTCTGATGCTGGGCCCCTGCCTCCTCAGCATCCCCCAGGCACGGAGCACCTCCATGTTGAGGAGCAGGGCAGACACAGGCCCTGGATCGGGTCCTGGTCTGGCCCCTGCAGGGCTGGGAGCACGCTGTCCACTCTGACCATGGACACCAGTCACCGGGCACTGTGAGGAGAACAGTAAGCATAAGATGCAGCCCATCCCTTCCCCAGTCCCAGGCCCCCTCTGTACTGGGTGAGGGACTTTTTCCCATCTCCCTCCAAGCTGGGCATGTACCTGGGCAGGGTAGATCTGTGCAGTTCAGCTTCCCCTCCAAGCAAGTGCTGGACAGAGGGTGCAGACATGAGAGGAAGAGGCAGCAGCTCAGTCCTACCCCATCCCTCTCTCCTGCACCCCACCAGCTGCCTGTTTTCTGCTCTCATCCCTATGACCCCCAGTTCCCTCCGAGTTTTCTGGTCTGTGCCCTCTCCCAGTTGCCCAGTGCCAGCTCTCTGACACTCTTAGTTTCTCCACTTATCAGACAGGGGTCATACCCCACATCTTGGGGATTGTGGGGAGCTAGTGGCCATCCACTGAGACCTTGAAGAGGTCAGGAACACTGATGCCAGGCGGGGCTACGCCTGTGGCATCCCTGTCTCCTGCGCTGGAGCAGCCCCCTCACCAGTGGTTGCAGCCATCGGGCCTTGCCAGCTGAGTGCCCGGACGGTGTCGCTGCCCGGTCAGCAGGTCAAGGCAGTCGCAATGACCCGGCTGCAAGCAGATGGCCCCGTCGGCACTCAGCACCTGGCCTGGGGGGCAGTAGCAGCCAGGCTGGCAGTGCCACACGCAGTGCTGGGGGGGACAAAAAGGTGGGGATCTCATCAGCAGAAAAAGGGCCTGAGGGGACAGGGCGGGAGGTGGCGGGGAGTCATGAGAACTGGGAAGCTGGAGAGGAAGGAGGGAGGTTGAGGGAGAGAAAAGGGTGACTTCACATTTCACAGTGTATGCCTTGAAGTTTTGTGAAAGGCAGGAAGGGGAACAGGCCAGCCTTTGTGTTTCCCTTGGAGTTTCTGAGTTGGTCCCTCTCTGGGAACAGAGAGGGGAGGGAGGAGCAGCTGTGAGGAGGGTCCCTTCAGCTCCCCCTGGGGAACGGATCTGCAGCTAAGTGTTATTCAAATGTGGAACATCAGTTTCCTGGGGCTGAGGGTTATCTGGGTGACCCGGAAACCAAGATGTGCCCCAGACCTCCTGAGAACTTAGGGAGCAGGGGACCTGGGAAGCTGCCTGGGGAGGTTCCCCCATGGCATCTGGAAGCCTCCCCAGACCTCCCTTAGACAGCGCCTAGCTAGAGCCTCAAAACACCACCTTGTTCTTTATAGCTTTGATCACATTGTTCAATCTCTGGTGTGTGTCTGCCTTCCTCACCCAGATGTGGTCTCCCTGGGGACTGGACCCTGTTTGTATTTGCACTCTCTATTCGTGGCGCCCTCAGTAATAACCACCCCACAACACAGATGCAAGTTCTGCACACCAATGTGCTCATGGCGTTTAAGATGGTACAAAGGGAATTCCCCCTGCCTATGTGTTTGTGCTATTTTTGTAACACAGGTTTGTTTGTTTTGTTGGTTTGGGTTTTTTTTTTTTTTTTTTCAGTCAGGGATCTTACTCTGTCACCCAGGCTGGAGTGCAGTGCCATGATCAGGACTCACCTCAGCCTCAGCCTCCTGAACTTAGGTGATCCTTCCACCCTAGCCTCCTTGGGACTACAGGCACGTGCTACCACACCCTGTAAGTCCTAGGCTCAAGCAATCCCCCCCCTTGGCCTCCCAAAGTGCTGGGATTCTAGGTGTGAGCCATTGCACCTGGCCTTGTAATGAGTTTTTTTTTTTTAGAAAAATAGATGTCCTGGTAATGGCAGATCCTTCTGTGCATGGCGGGGTAATAAGTTTTAATCTGACAAGCGTCTGATGTTCTGCAGACAAGGGCTACTGGGTGAGGCTGACTCTCTCTAGGACTAAGGGGGCTGGACTGGTGTGCAATTACTGTGAACTGAAAGCCAGTGCCCTCTACCCATCCCCTCCAGTGCTGGGCTGCCCAGCACCCAGCAAATGAGGCCACGAGCCCAAAGTCATGCCCTGCCCTCCTGCAAAGTGACCTTCCGGTCAGAGGTCAGGTGGGATTGCCCAGGGAGCCCAGACTCACCATTAAGTCATCACAGGAGCGAGGACAGGGAGGGCCGCAGGGGCTGTACTTGGCCCCTTCAATGGTTGTGCAGTTGGTCGCTGGAGGGCGCGGGACAGGGAATAGGACAGACTGAGAGCTGTGTGGCATGTCTCCCTGGAAAGCTTCCTCCAGCTTCTCCTCTGCTCCCGACCCGAACACCCATCCCTGGCAGGTACCTGGGCATGGCAGAGCCTGGCAGGTTTCCCCCTGGGCTTGAGGCCCCTCACAGTAATCTCCCAGGCCCTGGGGTGGGGGTTGGTCACAGGCTCGGGTGCGGCTCCTCAGGCCTCCCCCACAGCTCCGGCTACAGTGGGACCAGGGTCCCCATACACCCCAGGCCCCAGCTCCTGCAGGGACAGCAGAGAAAGGAGTGGGGACAGGCTTAGTCAGAGCCTGGGGGCAGCTGGTGCAAGGTGGCAGCATCCACAGGGCATAGTGGGCACTCTGCTGGGCTCCACGGGAGGGGTCAGCTGGGCAGGGCCAGGCAGGCACTCACGGTCACACCCTGGCAGGCGGCACGGCTCCTCCTCAGCCTCGGGGCCTGGGCAGGGAGGTGCGTAGGTGGCTAGTGGGGGCAGTGGAACCACAGTGGATGGCACCATGCTGGGGGGCCTTCCACAAAAGCGGTGCCGGTGGCGTCGGGCAGGGCCACAGGAAGCTGAGCACTCGCTCCATGGCGTCCACGGTGACCATATGGGGTGACCTGGGGGCACACAGAAGGGGGGGCAGGGAGCAGAGGGGCAGGGAGCAGGCACAGGCTGGAGAGGCTGGCAGGCAGAGCGTAGTGCCCTAGATTGATCCCCTCTCCCTGCCTCCACCTCTCCTGAGGGCTTCCTCCCGCAGCCTCAGTCCAGGCCCACTGCTGCGGCAGAGGGGGGAGCTGGGGTGCAAGTCAGAAATGGGGGCCATTTCTCACCCTCCTCACAAGGCCAGGAACTGCAGTTGGTGATGAGCCCTGAGACACAGGAGCTGGAGGGGAGCAGTAGAAGGTCAGGGTGGTCTTACAGGCTGCACTGTGTTCCCCAAGTCCATAGGTTCAAGTTCTAGCCCCCAGTACCTACGAATGTGATCTTTTTTGGACATGGGGTCTTTGCAGAAGTGCCCAAGTTAAAGTGAGGCCATTAAGGCAGACTCTCATCTGATGTCCTTATAAGAAGAGGAAATTTGACACGCTCAGAGGGAAGGGGGAAAGAGATGACGGCCATCTACAAGCCAAGAAATGTCAAAGATTGTCAGCAAACTACCAGAAGAGGAGGGCCCTGAACATTCTCCCTTACAGCCCAGGAAGCAGCCAATCCTGTTGACGCCTTGATCTTGGGTCTCTAGTCTCTCAACTGTGAGACCATCACTGCCTGTTGTTCAAACCCCCTAGCATGTGGCCCTTTGCTGCAGCAGCTACGGGACACTCACAGGTGGGGGAGGGAAGACAGGTGAGGAGGGGGGCATGCAGGGGTGCAAGCAGGTGCTGCCTTAGAGGGCTGGATGGCTGTGACTGGGGGAAGAAGACATGTTTCTCTGTGGCCAACTACAGCCCACGTCCCTGCCACTGAAGAGGGACAGCAGGATGACCAGGTCTGCAGGGGTCACAGTGCCACTGCGAGTGGGGGTGGGATGGGGTCTCACCAGTTCTCACATGGACGAAGCACAGCACTGCCTGGGGGATGGAGGCGCCCCCCATGGGCGCAGGGGCAGTCCTGGGTGGGTACACACACGTTGTTCTGGAAACAAAACCGTCTGTCACCTTCTGGCTTCCAGATGAGCCAGGTCTGGCCTGCTCCCAGAACCTTGTCAGAGCCGGGACCCAATCTTCAGGCTCTTCCCTTAAAAGCCACCCACGTTCCTTCCACAAACACACAGCTTCCGCCACGCCCCCTGTCAGACTAGCGCAGACTGTTAGCCTCAGGGGCCATGGGGGCATGGATCATCTTTAATTTTGGGATATGAAACTGAACGGTGAAATGCCCATGAAATCCTCTATGAAAATTTAAAATGTGCAATTTGTACAGCAATGGTAGAAAAAACCCCCAACATTTTCATTAAGAAAATAAAAACAAAGAAAAATGATGTGCACAGGAAGTTTGGACAGAATTCATTCTTAAAAGAAACAGACATCTAGTAGCACATGATTCAAAGTCAAATGCATTAAACCATCTTACTGACTCCTATGAGCAAGTACAATTTTCACCCATTTTACAAAGGAAGAAACTGAGGTACAATACTCTGCTCAAACTCAGAAAGCTACTAGTAGAAAAGCCTGATGTGGACCCAGATCCGGCTAGAACCTGTCCCTTAACCACATCCCACAGGTCCATGGTGATCCTGTAACCCTTTGCTCAAACTTCACCATTCCACCAACATTTTCCAACCCTTGCTCCCACCACCCTCTGACTGCAGTGGCCACCTCCCTGCTCTCTCCAGTCTTTGGTGTTCAAGTCAGGACCACCTCCTCCAGAAACTCCCCCATGGCTGACTCCACAATGTGCAAATCTCACTTCCTGTTTGTCTGATCTTCATTGCTTTATTTTCATTCTAGGGGCTTTGGGTCTAGTTTTCTCAGACTGGATGCTTCTTGAGGGCAAAGTGCTTTTTCCCCACAGTGTCACCTAGCCTGAGACTGAACATATAGTAGGTGCTTAATACAGAACATAAAGGGCAGAGCGCTTGAGCAGGGACAATTGACAAAGACCTTCTAGACCTGTCATCATTTTACACATGAGAAAGCAGAGGTCTGGGAAGAGAGGAATGACATGTGCCCAGGGTCACCTGCTGGTCACCTGCTGACTCCTGAATGCAGTGACCCATCCTCAACTCTGCAGGGTCTCCCTGCCTCCAGTCCCATACCCTTGACTCTGCCTCTGCCCAGGTCCTGTTTGTCTCTTCCCTGCCACCCCATGGTGTCCAGGCCCTGAGGAAGTCCCGGCTGTGGCCGGGCAGGGGGACACTCACCAGCAGGAGCATCCCAGGTGGACAGTAGCAGCCTGGGTGGCAGGTCTGGTTAGTCCCTCTTGGGGCACTGAGCTCTGCACAGGAAGCAGGGCCCTGGGCACAGTCCAGCCACAGCTTGCCCCTGGAACACACACCAGGCACTGGTCCTGGGGACACAGAAATTGATAGCTCAGCCCGGCACACTCAGCTTTCTACTGAGTTCCCAACCTGGGAGAGGCATCACCAGGGAGGGGTTGATGGTGCCCTGGGTTGGGGGGATAAGAACTGGAGGGTCCCAAGACAGCCCTCACCTGCACAGGGCTGCAGGCCACAGGTAGAGAACTCCATGGGGCTGTGCAGGCCGCTGCCTCGGGTACGGTTCCTGTAGCCACCACCACAGGGCACGGAGCACACAGACCAGGGGCCCCACTCCCCACCAGGACCTAGGAGGTGGCACCCAGGTCACTGCAGGCCCTGTCTCCCACATCCAGTCCACCTCCTCCTCCTCATCCTCCTCTTCCCATGGAGACACCATATCTTACTCTGGAAACCTCACACCTGCTTGGGAGGCTCCAGAATTCAGCTTGAAACTGGGCTGGTCTCTAGGGAGAATTTGGGGCTACCCTTGGGAGGGTCTCTGCTAGGGAATGGACCTAGCAGAGAGTCTCTGGAGGGAGACTAGCCAGGAGTCTCTGGAGACTGTCTCTTAGTGGCATCTCTTAGGGAAGTCTCTTGCACCTTTCAGAGGTCCCGGCAGGGCAAGTGATGGAACTAGTTTTGTCTTTTCTCTAGAAGGTTCTGTAAGGAGGTCTCAGGACTTCAGTCCCAGCTCTTACCTTGACATAGCTGCAGGCTGCAGAATTCAGCCTCCATGTTGGGGCCCTGGCACTCAGCACCCCCAAAAGCAGCTTCAGGTGCAGTGCCTGCCCGGAAGCGCCGCCGAATGCCCACATTGCAACTGCGGCTGCAGAGGCTCCACGGGGTCCAGGGACTCCAGCCACAGGCCACTGCCAGGGTGTGTGGGAAGGGAAAGGCAGTATGTGTGAAACCAGGTCAGGACATCCTGCATTCTAACTTCTCCGGGCACCAGCAGCACTCCCAGAAATTTATCTCTGAAGAGGCCCAAGTCATCCCCTGTGGTCCCCGAGGACCCATCACTGCCTAATTCCTGGCCCTGAGCGTAGGGTACCTGGGCAGAGCTCCGAGGTGCACACCATCTCGCCAGAGATACAGGTGCTGCAGAGAGAGGGGCCAGTGAGACCTGGCCGGGCCATCATGGCCACAGTCAGCCCCTGTCCCTGGGGAAGCAGCCAGGACCACCACAGAAGAGAAACCCAAGGGTCTGGGAAGTGAAGCGTGTTGCCCATGTCCCATGCAAAGTTCATGATGTGACCCGGGATTCTCCTCCAGTGTTGCCTCCTCCCAAGTCCTCCCTTAGTGAGCGCCACGACACCCCAGGCACTCTGCTGTTCCTTTGTTCCATGGCTTCACCAGGAGTCACCTTTTTATACTTTTTATTTCATTTGTACTTACTAAGCACTATTTGGAAATGATCTTGAGTGACAGTCAAGTAGGAGGAATTTAGAAAGAGCTAAAGCTCTCCCAGGAGGGAGAACTGGGTATTTTCTTCATTTTTGGTTCTCTTCAATACATGTTTTAAAGCTCATTAAATACTGGAGGTTTCAGAAAAAGATTCTAAGAAATGAAAAGTGAGAGAGTACGAGGTGGGAGGGAGGAAGAATGAAGAAGAGAATTGAGGGCGGGGCCAGGAGACAGAGAAGAAAAAGAAAAAAGAATGGAAAAAAGAGGGAAATGGGCAAGAGCACCCTCTTCTGGCAAATCTCAACGTCTGCTTGGTGTATCTGGCACGTCAAGGTTTCTGAACAGAAATCAAGCAGATCCTGGGGAGGGATCAGGAAACTGGGAAGCAGAGGAAACTGGGAGGAGAGGTTAGAAGCTCCTCTTCAGTGTCTCGCTCCAACATAAATTGCTCCATCGATCTGAGACGAAGTCTTCCCATAAGTCTAACGGGGATGGCCATTCCTTGTGGACGCCCACCTGAGGCCAGACAGTATCTCTCTCCTTTAGTATTCCCAGGGCTCATGCCTGGCACTAACAGCAGCTCTGACAGGTTTGGGGGATAGAGGCACGATGACCCTCTGCCCCCAGGGAGGTGTGCGTGTGAGTCCTTGCCTGCCCACCTCTGGACCCCCTGGCCCTTTCCCTCCCCACCCCGCCCCGGCCTCCACCCTGTGGCCCACCAGTTGTTGCAGGAGTCCAGGCGAGCTACTGCTCCTGGTGTGTAGAGCTGCCCATGCAGCTGGCAGGGGCACTGGCTGCGGGGCAGGCAGCTTGCATTGTGCAGGAAGAGGCCAGGGGGGCAGGTGCAGCCGGGGGCACAGGAACTTGTGCATTCCACTCCGGGGCCCTGTGCCAGGCATAGCTGAGAGCACGGACCCCCTTCCTGGTGACACTGCTCTGCTGAGCGGAACACCATGTTCCCTGGACACTGAGCTGGATGGGAAGACAGAGTGGGTCTTACCAGAGACAGGAAGGAAGGGCAAGGGGATCGAGGGGTAGAAGGGAATCTGCACGCAGATGACTAGGTGGCATTCTGCCAGACAGGCCTGAGTCTGAGGAAGCCCCTCCTGCCCCCACCCTTGAAGCCTTGCGCCCGTGTCTGGATGTCACCAGTAAAGAGTCATGACTTTGCTCCACTTTAATACAAACATCCTTGAGAATAGAACATGAGGACTCCAGTCATCTGGGATAGGAGGAGGGCTCAAAGGACAGGGGACAGTGAGAATGGGGGCTGGGATTTCTAAGGGGAGCTAGCTCTGCCCCTCCACCACAGTTCTGGCTGTGAGTGAGTTCTGCCTGAAGGAAGGCCAGTCGGACTCCCTCAGAGGAGGCTGTTCTCCTGGGAAGGAGGCCTATCCCCAGCAGGGAGAAGCAGAAGGCCTGTCCTCAGGCCATAGCTGGGACCTGGTCTCCAGTGGTTGGGAGAGGGAGGGAGCTGGAGGAGACACAGGGAATCCCCCAAAGCCCCAGTTAGCTCATGGCATCCCCTGGCCTGGAGTCAGAGGTCAGTAATGTGCCAAGGTGAGGGCAAAGAAAAGGTCAAGATCCCCAGGAGCTGGGTTGGAGAATGAAGAGAGAATGTGTTACCTGTGCAGGGCTGCATGTTGCAGTCCCTGGTCTGACTGTGGGGTCCCTGGCATGCAGGGTCCCTGGGAGCCAAGCTGGAGCAACTGCGCACACGTGTCTGGACACCTCCATCACAAGGGGCTGAGCAGGCAGACCATGGAGTCCATAGACCCCAAATGCTCAGCACTGTCAGGAAGAGCCAAGTTCAAGGTCACAGACATTGGTAAAGGTGTGGGCCAGGGATGGGGTGTGGGAGGAGTCAGAGAGCTTCCAGCTTCTACTCACATCCATCCCTCTAGGGTGTCCCAGACACAACTTCGGGCAGCCCACCCTAGGAGTCATGGGCTGGTTTCCAGGGGTGGGAGAGGGTTAAGGACAACAGCCAGGTTTGCTCCAGCCCTTGCCTACCTTTCACCCTTGCAAAGTGTTTAGAACCAGCTCGAGTCAAGGGGTCATTCTTCTTTGCACTTCAACCCAGCCCAGTGCCTGGGCCACACCTCGACCCAAGGGAGCATACCTGGGCATACAGGAAGGCTGCAGGGCTCCTCTTGGGTGGCCTCCCCTGGGCAGGATGTGTCCCTGTGGCCGGGGCAGAGCCGGGAACGACTACGCCAGCCGGGGTCCCCTCCAGGGACAAGGCAGCTCTGGGAACAGGAAGACCAGGACATCCAGGGTGTCCAGCCCAGCACCTCTGGAGGGGAAACAGAACAGGCTGATTGCACAGGGGCCCTGGCAGGGAGGGTTGGGGTGGGGTGGGGTGGGTCAGGTCTAAGAAACTGGGGGTGGAGGGTGAGCAGGGAAGGATTCATGAGGACAGAGTGCTGCTCTGGGCTCAGGGTACAGACTCTGCCTCCCCCCCAGCCCCGGCTTGCTGGGATCTCCCCACTCTCCAGCCCCACCTTTTATTCTCAAGAGCCTGGAACAGGGCCTCCCACTGAAGCTGAGCCCACACCTCTAACCTGGACCCAGCTGGCACATCAACAGGCCACCACCCATCATCATATTGCCCCCAGCTCAACCCTGCCAGATCCTTCTAAGCCAGAAACCGCAGCATCCCAGTGGACATTGTTAATCTCCTATCAGCTACTTTCTACTGACTCCTCCTTCCCTCCTGCTGCAAGAGCCTTGCTCAGACGCCCTGGGTGACCCCCATCCTCTTCTCCCTGCTCCTTCTAACCCCCAACCAGCTCTCCCTTCCTTTCCTTCCCCCCATTGCCCTGCACACCCGTCAGGCTTGGTCTGCTCTGTAGAGACTTCCACTGGTGCCTGAACTGTGTGAGGAAAACCCATCAGTGGAAAGAGAGAAACAGTCTGGCACCTTCATCTGGCCTGTAAGCTCTCCTACTGACCCCTCCCAGCCCAGCCAGCCTCACCTCAGACTCTGCAGGCACCTGCCCCACCCAGGTCAGCCTGCTGGGGCTGTCTGGGTGGGATCTCTGCCTCTCTTCCATCAAAGCCCACCCACCAAGGCCAGTTCAGGGGCTGCTTTTCATACCGCAGAGGCTTCACTGACCACCCCTACAGAGTGGCCAGTGGGTCGAATCTCGTGTGTTCCCAAAGCATGAAGTACGGAGGACCAAGGGTTCCTGTGTGGGGGCTTCTGAGCGTACCTGTCCCACACTTGGTGTGGCAGGCCTGCAGTTCCTGCATGTCACCTTCACACGGGGCACCTCCATAAGCTGCCGGAGGGTTGGAGGGAGACCTGGGGAGAGAGGCAGCCCTGGGCACCCGCTCTTTGCTCTCTACCCCTCACTCCTGCCTGCTTGTCTTTCCGTCCTCCATCCACCCCCACCCCCACCAGGGCTGGCTTGACTCTGAGCTTCCCCACCCTCCTCTGCTCTTCCCATTCCCGCTGCAGACCTGAATCTGGCCCTTACTCCAGAGCCACAGGAGCGGTCGCAGGGAGCCCAGGAGGACCAGGCTGACCAGCCACAGGGTAGGGGGCAGCCCCCTGGTTCACACACCAGAACCCCCTTCTCACATGTGCTGCAGGGGAGGGAAAGGCCGAGGAGCTGGTCAGGACTGGGGAGGCCCCGGGCGCGGTGCCCTCCCCAGTGCAGCTGCCCTCACCACTGGCTGCAGTTGGCCAGGAGGAAGGACACCCCTGGCTGCTTCAGCTCTTCGCCCACGAGGCAGGGACACTCAGAGAGGGGCAGGCAACGACTGTCATGGAGGAGGAGCCCTGGGGGGCAGCGGCATCCTGGGGGTGTGGAGGAGGAGGGCACTCAGCCCCAAGGGAGGCAGCAGGGAAGGGCAGCTGGAGGCTGAGGGCTGGGTGGGTGTCCCCCACTTCCCCTACTTGCTGGGTCTGTCTCACCCTCCATACAGTGCCCACTGCAGCTTCTGTTGGCCTCGGGATCCAGGCAGGAGGGTGGGCACAGAGGCACCAGCCCCTTCTGGCACAGATCGGCACTCACATGCACATAGCCCGGCCCACAGTCTGGTGAGAGATGGGTACCAGGTGGGTGTGGGCGCCAGGGTGCCCAGACCCCTGCCCCAACCACCCCATGCAGAATGTCTCTGCCCTCAGTCCAGCTCTCCTTCACCTGTGCCACCTATGCAGGGCTGCAGGCCACAGGGGGCTCTCTCTTGAGAGGCCCCGGGGCAAGAGGCTCCGCCATTCTTGGGCGGGGGGTCCACACAGCTTCTCTGGCGACTCTGATGGCCACCCCCGCAGGTGACGCTGCAGGGTCCCCAGGCCTCCCACAAGGCCCATGCCCCAGCCACTGTGGGAGAAGGAAGAACAAGGATTGACCAGGAGAGTCCAGGGGACACAGACTGTGTAAGAGAAAACAGGACCAGAGCCAAGGAGCATTCCTTCTAGAACTAGGCAGTGGCCAGCAAGGCAGCCGAGCCCAGCACTCGGGAACTCTACAGCTTCCTCTTCTGATCCAGGAAACCTCCCACAGGAAGGGGGTACCTGGGGAGAGAGCTCTAGGTGCCTCCCTGGAGAAAAGCTCTGGTCACCAGAAAAGGGCAGGCACTGTGTGAATCCTGGAGCGTGATGCCCTCTGGGGGCAGGGTAGAAGTAGGGACACTAAGCCGGACTCGGTGGCTCAGCCTGTCATCCCGCACCTTTGGGAGGCTGAGGTGAGTGGATTGCCTGAGCCCGCGGGTTCGAGACCCCCTGGGCAGCGAGAC